GTCGTCATAGCTGTAACACCCTTACTTTATCTTCCCTCTTTGCTGATGGCCCCACTTTTGACTCAGACTACCTCTTTGACTTTTTGATGGCAACCAATTTATTACACAAACTTTTTAATGCTTCCTTCAGCACTCCTTACAGCCTTTTCTAACTCTTCCTCTGTTACCCTCTCCATCCCTGGCTCCTCTCTGCTCCAGCAGCACCCCATGCCCTGCAGCACTGTATGGCCCTAGTGGGTTTAGCACTTGGTTTTGATATGCAAGTGATGGGGGATTAGTCTTTGGTGTTATGGCCGTGCTGGGTGGGCTTCAGCTCCCTCAGTGTAGCCATGACATATAGAGGCTACACTTCCTGCCGTAAGTACAGAACCTTACTGTCCACAATATACACGATGATCCGTATGCTCGTTGCTTCCACTTGCATGGACATTGAAATAGTGGAGCTGAAGCCCTTGGGTGAGTAACACACTTCTTTCATAGTGGGAAGATAGAGGTCATAGGGGGAGGTTAAGTGATAACCCTGCTGAATAGTTGGCTGTTCATGCATTACTCTCTGCTTTCCAGTGGGGCAGTTTTTTGGCTGGGGCCAAGTAAGCCTCAGAGGGGCAGGCACCCTTTGGGTTTTTGACTACCACTTAGTCCTCTGTTGGTCACTCACACACATATCTCCAATAGCTCTTTAGCTGTTTTAGTAAATTTGTAAGCCTCCTTTTGTTGGATTCATTAGTGGGTGGGGGAATGGGGGACAAAGTTTCATTATTGCTGTTTTAGAATTATTATTAATGATTCCTCTCTACTGTCCCTCATTGTGACTGGTTTCTAACTCGCAAAGGTGATACTAGTCCTTTAGATATCCAACAGCATTCTTCTTGCTCTGCAATCAAGACAATTACTGTTTCAGATCGAATTTCGAGTTTAAACCACATCTCATCTAGAGTTTATGATCGTGATGATCATACTGTCAGTCTTTAATATAAACTTCATTATTTCTTGAGAGAACATATGCTCAAGAATAATCAAATTTCAAATTATCATTCTTTTGTTTACCTAACATCTATCTCCAGCTTGGTGCAGTGACCCAAAGAAGAAAATGCATCATCATTCATTCAATTGTATTTTCTAAAAGTGCTGACATCACAATTCAGATTACTCAAGTAGATCATCCACACCCATTATTTGTTAAGTGCCAGAAGCATACTGATATCAGTTCAGATGACTCTTCAGATTGTAACATCCCCAACACCTTCAAAGTGTCAATACAGTGCTTCCCATCTTTGGTCTCAAGTTCTGCTAACTGGCTTCCCTGAATCTTTGCATAAATTTTACTTTGTTCACACTCCAAAAGCTGTTGGAGTGTGCTGCAGGTATTATTATTTTTTAACACACCAGCCATCTGCCACCAAGGCAGTGTGACCAAAGAAGGAAGAAACAAAAGCTTTTCTCCTTCTTATATTTAGTAATTTATACACAGAGTTACTAGCCCCTGACTCCAGGCATTTTAGTCACCTCTTATAACATTCATGGCTTATGGAAGAAGGCAGCACTGTATGACCCTGGTGGATTTAGCGTTTGGTTTTGATTATAATAATTACAGAAGAAGGATTCTTCTCCACTTCCCTACAGAGTTATTATTATTATTGATACCAACAGTTATTGGAGTGTGACCAAAGTAAAATTTATACAGGGACTCAGGGAAACTGGTCATCCAGACTTGAGTCCTGGAGGTGAAAAATACAGTGCCTGCAATGAAGGGGTAGGGATATCAGCATGGTTCTGGCAAGACAGTGATTGAGTGAATGATGTTGGAGTTTCTTTTGGGTGACCCCCCCCCCCTTTTGGTGGGAGATAGTTGATGTGTTTAAAAACACTAATACTATTGTCAACTATTACTGCTGTTGCACTTGAGCTTGTCCTCCACAATTTCTAACATTAGCATGCTGCTGCTATACAACATGATTGACTTGTGTTCCCTATTTGGATGGAATCTGAATGCCTTCCATTCCTCCAGGTGCTATATGACCCCTATGGGTTTAGTGCTTCCCATGAATTTAACACTGATAATATGGAACACTAAACCTATCCAGGTTTAGCCTTTCATGATAATCCTAAACATCCAGCAGATATACATACAAGGGATTTTATTACTAGATGGATTAAGATAAAGGTCATATGTTGAAAATGTCAAAGTAAAATTAAAATTTCTTACAGCTGCTGTATGACCCTGGTGGATTTAGTGATCAGTTCTGATTGTAATAATAATTTCTTGTGGCTAATTGACCTTACTGGGAAAATTATTTCTTGGGATGTAATCAAAGGGTTAAGTGTATTTTGCCAAAGCCTTTATAATGTTTAATCAAATTGCTAAATAATATGCAATAGTGCTGAAAGATACTCACAAATTTAGAATTTTTCATGGATATAATATTATACAGAAGATTAAAAAGTACAGTAAATTAAAAATTGAGCAAGTAAACAGTAAGTTCCAAGTACAGTGCCTGTATATAACAAGGAAAATGTCACAAGACTACTCAACAATAGTAAACCCTCAATTTAATGACCAGAAAGTTAAGACAAAATCTGCTGGATTGATTAATTCAGAAACCATGGACAAAATCCGTTGTTTACAAAATTTTCCATTATGGTTATGAACATAGAAAATATCATCTCTCTCTCTCCACCACAATTACCATTACTCCCCCTTTCCCCCATTGGTGTTAAATCGAGGGTTTATTTTTTAGTTTAGGAAGCATAAACCTCCTTGGCAGTTTCTACCTGAGTCTTGTTATATAACTTCTAACACTTCAATATCAACCCACTTAATCTAAAGTGCTCATCTTTATTCTTTGTACAGCTTTTTTTTTTTTAAACAAATTACTGTATAACATTAATAACAAACTATGTAAAGTTTAAAAATTCAATTACAGCAGCAGTGACTGATGTATATAGGCTTAGTACTTTTTTTGTGAATATAATCATTATGGTGATAGTGCAGACTGCAGGAGTAAGAAAAATTATTTAATGTTTTGAGGAACATTCTATTAAACATTTTATTGCATTTTTCACAGTAAAGGATAACT